CCAAGGTTGCCCCCTGTCCCCCCTCCTCTACATTTTATCGCTGGAACCTCTGGCGCTAAAGATTCGTATGAGTCCTGACATAAGAGGAGTAATAGTGACAGGCCAGGAACACAAACTGGCATTGTTTGCCGATGACGTTTTGGTGTCATTGACAGACCCAGAGAGGTCCTTGCCACACCTCATGAACACCCTTACCGACTTCGGCTTAGTTTCCCACTATAAACTTAATCAAGATAAAACTCAAGCACTGACGGTTAACCTAACACTGGAACGTACACAGACACTACAACGACAACACCAATTTGACTGGAGACTCTCATCCCTCACATACCTAGGGGTCAAAATCACAACATCCATAGCAAAAGTCATAAAATTAAATTACCTACCCTTACCACACATGTGCAAGGCGGACACCCTAAAATGGAAACACGTGCACCTATCCTGGCTAGGAAGGATTAACACCTTCAAAATGTCTATACTACCCAAAATTCTTTATGTTTTCCGTATGCTACCTCTCAAAGTATCACAACCTCTGCTTAAGAGCTTACAAAGCACATGCAACACTTTTATATGGGACAATAAAAAGCCCAGGATCCCTCACAGACTTCTGTACACCCAGGTCAAACAAGGCGGAGTGGGACTACCAAACATTAACCAATATTATAAAGCGACAGCGCTAACAGCTGGCATAATGCTACACTCTCCTAAAGGGGACATCAGCTGGGTAGACATGGAGAATGCCCAACTAAAAGCACTAAACATGGTTGACGTCCTATGGATGCCTAAACACCTACGGACCCCTAAACTAGACCTATTTCACTCAACGTCTCTGACACTTAACATATGGGACTCATTTATGGCCACAATGGGGTGCAAACTTTCCTTCCATACCCGGGCACCACTGACTGCCTTAGGAACCGCATCCCCCGACCTCCCTCTAACAAGGTGGACTAAGGCAGGAATCACCAACGTCCAACACATAGTAGACAATAAGGGTGTAATAGCATTCGCGGATATACAGGCCAAATGGCACCTACCGGTGAGGGAAGTATTTACCTACCTAAGACTCAAAGGGACCATAATGACTCATGTGAACCTACACAACAGCACTCGGGAGCAATCACCATTAGTGGGCGGGATTTTGGACAGATGCAGGGCCGCACCATACAAACCAAAAGCCATCTCCCTCTGCTACAAAATGTGGGAAACCACATTACCACAACACATCCCCCTCTGTAAGACTAAATGGGAGGAGGACTGCTCCCTTCAACTCTCAGAGGAAGATTGGGTCAGAGCACTAAATAGCCTCTCAAAACTCACTAGATGCTACTCGCACATAGAAGCACATAGGAAGCTACTCTATAGGTGGTATATGACGCCAAGTCGGTTGCATAAAATATACCCCAGTGTACTGCCGACATGCTGGCGGTGTTCGAGAGACACTGGTACTTTCCTCCACATATGGTGGACATGCCCGGTGATTCAACCCCTCTGGACAGAGGTTAGGAGACTGCTGGGTAAGCTGGGTGTGGCAAACCTGTTGCCAAGCCCGCAAATTTACCTCATGCTTATGCTCCCCAGTGACCTTGCTAGAGAACACAGACAGGTATGTGCCATCACGTTATTGGCGGCCAGGAACCTTCTAGCGACGAACTGGAAGTCGCACCTATGCCCATCTAAAATACAACTATGGGATAAGATTCAACAATACCATGTCTATGAACGAATGACGATGACCCATAGTATAGAATCACAGCAGTTCCACTCAACGTGGAAACAGTGGACATGCTTATACAGCCAAGCCACAAATCCCCAAAATCCACCTTGAGTCCGTTATATATGGTCTGACAGACAGTACCAGCACGCAACACCGTGCTTAAAGAACCGACCTTTATCTTCCCGTACCAGACTGCTTTGCCCACAAACACCTAACAACAGACAGACAATATGTGAGTGTAAAGCTATACTATGCAACCTTACGTATACGTATATCAGGTATATTGCTATTGCGGACATAGTCTGCCTGCGAAACCCTGAATGTCACTGTCGAATATCGTGCTAACAACTCTTGTATAATTCCATATTGTCTACATTCCCCCATTGTTATCCTTATAACTCCCTTCTCTCTTCTGTACCCCATGTACTTGAAAATCAATAAAAAATTGTATTTAAAAAAAAAAAAAATGGTAGGCCTTTGTGGGGAAAGTTTGAATAAGCAACCTGCTATTAGAACCCAAAATGAGTCATAAACCTATAAAATTCTGTAAAAACTGAAATGGTCAGGTCTCCTATATGGCAGTGTAGCATCAGGAAATACGACTAAAGGCATACATTGGGGTATCGTTTTTCTCACAGGAGATAGCTCAGCATAATTAGGGGTGTTTGATCATATTGGAACATATCAAATATACAAAATGCCCAGCACAAATGTAACGCATAAGTTAAAAATGCAAAAAATATTTTTTTACCACAACCTTTGACATATCATGGTGAAAAAATGGCGACATGTTAAGGCACAATATATGCCATGTGAGATACTCTGGAGTGTCTACTTTCACAAATGGTAGGCCTTTTTGAAACAGTCAAACTGCTATAATGGCCCAAATTGAAACATAAGCCCTGCAAATCCGTCTCTCAAAATTCTACTCTAAAAAACTGAAATGGTCAGGTCTCCTTTATGGCACTGTAGCATCACCATATAGTGTCAAAGACATACATTGGGGGTATTGTTTTACTCAGAAGACTTAGCTGAGCATAATTAGGGGTGTTTGATCATAGTGGAACATATCAAATATACAAAATGCCCAGCACAAATGTAATGCTTAAGGAAAAAATGTGAAAATATTTTTTTACCACAAACTTTGACATATAATGGCGATAAAATGACGACATGTTAAGGCACAATATATGCCATATGAGATACCCTGGAGTGTCTACTTTCACAAATGGTAGGCCTTTTTGCGGTTTTTGAAATTGTCAAACTGCTATAATGGCCCAAACTGAAACATAAGCCCTGCAAATCCGTCTATCAAAATTCTACTCTAAAAACTGAAATGGTCAGGTCTCCTTTATGGCACTGTAGCGTCACCAAATAGTGTCAAAGACATACACGGGGGTATTGTTTTACTCAGAAGACTTAGCTGAGCATAATTAGGGGTGTTTGATCATAGTGGAACATATCAAATATACAAAATGCCCAGCACAAATGTAATGCTTAAGGAAAAAATGCAAAAAATATTTTTTACCACAAACTTTGACATATAATGGCGAAAAAATGGCGACATGTTAAGGCACAATATATGCCATATGAGATACCCTGGAGTGTCTACTTTCACAAATGGTAGGCCTTTTTGCGGTTTTTGAAACAGTCAAACTGCTATGATGGCCCAAACTGAAACATAAGCCCTGCAAATCCGTCTCTCAAAATTCTACTCTAAAAACTGAAATGGTCAGGCCTCCTTTATGGCACTGTAGTGTCACCAAATAGTGTCAAAGACATACATTGGGGGTATTGTTTTACTCAGAAGACTTAGCTGAGCATAATAAGGGGTGTTTGATCATAGTGGAACATATCAAATATACAAAATGCCCAGCACAAATGTAATGCTTAAGGAAAAAATTTGAAAATATTTTTTTACCACAAACTTTGACATATAATGGCGAAAAAATGGCGACATATTAAGGCACAATATATGCCATATGAGATACCCTGGAGTGTCTACTTTCACAAATGGTAGGCCTTTTTGCGGTTTTTGAAACTGTCAAACTGCTATAATGGCCCAAACTGAAACATAAGCCCTGCAAATCCGTCTCTCAAAATTCTACTCTAAAAACTGAAATGGTCATGTCTCCTTTATGGCACTGTAGTTCACCAAATAGTGTCAAAGACATACATTGGGGGTATTGTTTTACTCAGAAGACTTAGCTGAGCATAATTAGGGGTGTTTGATCATAGTGGAACATATCAAATATACAAAATGCCCAGCACAAATGTAATGCTTAAGGAAAAAATGTGGAAAATATTTTTTTACCACAAACTTTGACATATAATGGCGAAAAAATGGCGACATGTTAAGGCACAATATATGCCATATGAGATACCCTGGAGTGTCTACTTTCACAAATGGTAGGCCTTTTTGCGGTTTTTGAAACAGTCAAACTGCTATAATGGCCCAAATTGAAACATAAACCCTGCAAATCCGTCTCTCAAAATTCTACTCTAAAAACTGAAATGGTCAGGTCTCCTTTATGGCACTGTACCATCACCAAATAGTGTCAAAGACATACATCGGGGGTATTGTTTTACTCAGAAGACTTAGCTGAGCATAATTAGGGGTGTTTGATCATAGTGGAACATATCAAATATACAAAATGCTCAGCACAAATGTAATGCTTAAGGAAAAAATGCGAAAAATATTTTTTTACCACAAACTTTGACATATAATGGCGAAAAAATGACGACATGTTAAGGCACAATATATGCCACATGAGATACCCTGGAGTGTCTACTTTTACAAATGGTAGGCCTTTTTGCGGTTATTGAAACAGTCAAACTGCTATAATGGCCCAAATTGAAACATAAGCCCTGCAAATTCGTCTCTGAAAATTCTACTCTAAAAACTGAAATGGTCAGGTCTCCTTTATGGCACTGTAGCGTCACCAAATAGTGTCAAAGACATACATTGGGGGTATTGTTTTACTCAGAAGATTAAGCTGAGCATAATTAGGGGTGTTTGACCATAGTGGAACATATCAAATATACAAAATGCCCAGCACAAATGTAATGCTTAAGGAAAAAATGCGGAAAATATTTTTTAAAACAAATTTTGACATATAATGGTGAATAAATGGTGAACCGTTAAGGCAAAATATATGCCATATAAGATACCATGGAGTGTCTACTTTCACGAATGGAAGGCCTTTGTGTGGTCATTTGAACAACCAAACTACTATAATGCCCCAAAATAAGACATAGGTCCATTAAATCCATCTTTGAATTTTCTAACTGTAGAAACTGAAATAGTCTGGCCTCTTATATTTCATTGTAGCTTCCCAAAATAGTGGCAAAGACATACAATGGGGGTATTGTTGTACTCAGCAGATGTTGCTGAACACAAAATGGGATTTTGACCAGGAATAGCACACAGCAGCTTTACAAAATACACATTTAAAAAACCTTGTTACATGTGTGTATTTCAAAAAACAGAAAAAACACAATTTTACTACAATATGTAGCAGAGATTGGTGGGAAAA